GGTTTTCACGCGACTGATCTACATTTTAAGCTATTTATGTATATTCATGTATTACATACAGAGGTGTCAGTGAAATTATACGACAAACGAAGTTGAATGAAATTCAAAAACCAAACATTTTAACCCTCGCATGGCGGATGCATGATCATTTTGACTCAATTGTATATGGTATAAGATACGAAGTATGTACAAAATTTATGTTATAATCATAGGACACATACAACTACTTTATATACTAATTGTTTTGAATTGTAATAAATATTATATATATGTAAACATATTTGTAATATTTTCAACAAATATTCCAGTGTGATCACCGCGAATAACAAATGTTTGCTACAGGTCACTCTGTCTCTGCATTCACTTGCCGTGTGGGTATCGAAGCGTCCATCTTCCGAGGATTAAATGCTAATGAAGATATTAAATTTCGTGTAGTTTTGATAAAATATCTCTATTTTCAGAATTAGTTAAACAAAAATGTCTTAAAATAAAATTACGGTCAAGTAAAATTGCTTTGAAACAGAGCCAAACACGTTTTCAGTGTGTGTTCTCTAAAGTTAATGAAATACTGTTTGAACAATGTTCTTCAATCTTTAAAAATGAGCGAGTCGATGAAATATGAAGGAAGCTGAATAACCATCGAACCGAAGTTCCTTTTTCTGTGCCATAAATTTTGTATAGAATCGAGGGTCTCCCTAACTATAGACACCTGTCCCTGATGATGAATTATAGACTATTTTTCCGTCAGTATTGGCTTGACAAGAATTAATTCATTTTGCATGCAAAGTTTCGCGATAAATTATCCCTGTAACCATTCGGATACATCGAATTCCGTTGATCAGACGAAAAATCCAGAATCCGCCGTAGAATTGAGTTTCATTATCATCGATTCTTGTATCCTTGACTATACCACTGATATAGCGGTATAAGAATAAACAGATATTTCATTTTATGGATTCATTTTTTTTACCGGTAGGTTTCCAATTTTCGACCGACCGCAAAAAAATTATTCGTATATGGACTGGGAATTTTTATGGTGTTTGATATATTGTTGATGTTAAACGGGATACTAGTAACTGGTGACTAACGCTTCTGAATGACTAAAAAACAATCGTAACATACAAAATAACCGATGTGAAATGAAAATATTTAATAATGTAACTAAGTTGATAATAGTGTAATGCAAACATTGTAATGCAAAATAATTAATAATTGTTCCTGCTTTTCTTTGCTACAAAAGAAAAACTCTACGGGAAAACGCTTAAGATTTTCGTGGCGCTTAACATGTTAATATATTCGCGCTGTTCAAGTAAAGGTTTTTGTAACATGATTTGCAAAGGTATGATTGATTGAGAACGGACCGAAGTTTTCTCGTTACCTTGTTATTATTAACATGTTTCATTCTTGAAAAGGACTGCTTCAACGATCCACGATTTTAAACTTCACAAATAGGTTTGATTCACATGCAGATTCGCATTTTTACAGTTAAGAATAGTAAGTCTATGACCAAATAGAATCTTATCCATCGTAACAGGTTCATTGAAATGGTGCATTGAAAACATTAAATGGAAGAAAAAATAATTTTTCTTATTTTGTTTCGTATAGGTATGAATAAGCCACAAACGTATAAAAATTCGCAAGTCACAGACAAGGTGAGCCGCACTAGCGTCGGGCAACAGTTACAAATAACTTCAATCCGATCACTATTTGCGAACAAAGAATACTTAGTTAACATATTCATCATTCGTTGTCAACCGAACCTGTGAGTAGCGGATAAGAACTATAAAGCGAAATAACGGATAATAATGAACACAACCCAATAATGGTAAAACTAACAAGAAAAGCTACCGAACTTGGAAACTCAAAAACTTCTGAAACTTTGCGGGTAAGTAGGGTAAATCAAGCTTAATACATTGCAATTTTACTTTTCCTGTCGAATTTCATTTTGAAGGGATGATATCACCCCTTGTAAGAAATGCAATTTTTTCTTCCCGGAGATTATCTTGAGAATGGTAAAAGATATCGAAAACCAGTTTAAACTAAATTTCTTCTTTCTAAAACAAGAAATTATTCTTTCGCGTCTATAAAATTTTACTTTGCAATTCTATATAGGTGTGAAAGAACAATGCATGTTTTGTGTAAACTTTTTTTCGTTGTAAAGTTTTGACATGTCAAAGTGACATTCGGCAGGAAAAATAAAATTGCAATCTATTAGGCTTGACTTACTCTACTTATACACAAAGTTTCATAACTTTTTTAATTTCCTGGTTCGGTAACTTCCCTTGTAAATGTTAAAGATTCAAATCATATTCAGTCAGCAACGAGACTCCAGAGGCTCCAAAGAATTGTCTGTCATTCCATACATTTCTGTCCTCTGTGCATTTAACTTTAACGATCAAGGTCGCCACATATACAAAACTCCAATACCAAATCTACAGTCCACTTTTATTTCGAATAAACAATTATTCGAAATTATTTGGAGTTTATATTAACCGTCATAGTGCTATACACGCATATATGCGTTTTCCGATCTTCTTAATCTCACACGTGCTATGATGACAATTTATAAGTGTAATATTCTACGAATTAACATAATTCATTGATCTTCAGATGAGCAAACAAATATTCCGTCCACACAGAATGTTTCGATTGGAAGTATTCAGCAGTCAAAGGACTAAGAAACAGCGTATAATGATCGTTACTGTCATTCGAGTGAAGATCCATTCAAGTAACGCGCAATGTTGAGCTTTCTCGCGAAAGGGAACGTTAGAGGACACGTTTTTTCGAGGGTCGCCGTGCAGTTCACGTCGAGTTTTGCGTCGTGTCGTGTCCTGGCGCACGTCGCATAAAATACGCGCGTTGTCGTTACGCATGAACATCGTGTCGTCACGTATTTATCGGCCTCCAAACGGAAGCCAAATAATATTATTCCGAACGCAGGCGTACGGTCGCACACGACGACGGAGCAATAGACCTCGCGTTACCATGGCACAAAAACACGGCTGGAATCGGGAACCTACGATCTCTCGGGGAAAAAATACGCAAATTTTGATGCGCTCGTTAACCGATCCGCATCGTTAGCCATGTATATACAGCGTACACGATTCATTCGGTTTCCATCTTTAGAGGCTACGTTTGAAATAGGACGGAGATCCTCGTAAACAAATTCGAACATTTAACTTCTTGCGCTGAAGATCAATTCAGAGATCCGGCGTAAAAATGTTGTTTTTTTCTACTAATGTAAAAGTGAGCTCAAATAGTCGTAACTCAAGCCCACTGTAAAGGGTTAAGCCTTCGCACTCTACAAATTTTCTGATTATATTAGATTGCGTAACAGGAAATATTGGATTTTTCTTACTCATAAATGTTTGTACTCCTGTTGTTATTCCTTTGTGTTTCATATAACCTCCTTGAACAGTTTCATTGGCGATTATCAGAGTAACTTTTTGCAAAACAATTTTTCGGAATTATGCCTAATAACAATTTCTTGCGTCGTTTTTTAAGAACATAGATTCCGCCAACATTCGTGTACTTTTCTTGTGGGAATTCGAACTTGGAAATAATGCTGCAAGTACCGCTCAAAATATGAATGAAGCGTAGAGAATACTGTGAATAAAAGAACAGTGCCTCGTTAATTTGCAACATTTCGTTTCGGTGATGTTTCTTTGCAAGATGAGCCGCATGGTAGTATAAACAGTAGTTTATAATGATGCCCCTCGAATTTATTCATTCTAAACATTCAGAATTGTTCAGAAAAGGAACATATTCATTAAAAACACGTTAGCAGAAGTGTATCGATTAGAATGGAGCATATTTTCATTGAATGAACGTCTTTTAGAACATCAAATAAGGACCTAATGAATACCTAACACTTTCTCAGTGAAGTATCGCCAATATTTTTCAAAGCTAAGGGGAAATTCACCTAAAAAAAGAATTCTTTGAAGAAACGAAGTCGAAAAATTGACTTTCGGTCACAGAATACCGTTTTCCACGCCACCGCGCGCAGAACGAATGGAAAAACCATCTGCGATACTCCAATAACGCCCGTAAAACCGATATCTCCTCGAATTTCAATCAACCGGAAGACTCCGGTGGTCGGCGCTCGCTTTTTGTTATTCGCCTCTCAATTAAAGTCTCATTCGTCACATGAATAATCGACACAACTATATAACGAAGGGAACAAAAACGTTGTTTTATGTCCTCCCGAGGTTGCTAATAACGTTGCGACGCGTAATTATTAAATGTTACGACGCTTCCTTTTTTTTATCGGTGAAACGTTTCTTTTCGGGGGAAAAAAATGCGAATAGATTCAAAGGAAAACTTCGAGACTACTTATTAATCACGACTTTTAAGCCGCATACCAATGTATTGCGACGTACGGTGGGGTATTATATAAACCAAAGTAAAACAAAGAAAAATCATATGTTTAGCTAAACAAATTCATCCTTGAAAGAATTAGTATCATTTCAAGCTTTAAGATTACGTGTATAGTCGTCGAACACAGATAATTGGTTAACATTTTGCATTCCGTCGGCTCTATTACAAAGGACATCATTCGCGTTACAGCTGCCATTGAAATCATGAGATTCTTCTTTTGTAGCAGAATAAAGCAAAGTGACGAAAGACATTGACACGTTTGCGACCACGGTCAAATTTGAAATACAGTAGGGCTCTAAGTTACGTTCTACCGATTTACGTTGTTTCGCAGTTACGTCGTCTTCGCGTAACGCGGTAGTTAATTGTGTCCAACCAATATTTCTTGCTCCACGTGTTTAGTTTTAACTGAGTCCGTCTGAAACTTCCTGGAACGAAGAATTCGTCTTGCGATACATTAATTTTATAACGTTTTTATGGGTAAATAATCTCAGGACTTATAGGAATATATTTACAGTAATCATCAGTGAGCAAGTGTAATTAATCAAGAATTAGGATCATTATTCTAGTCTAATCTAACGTAATTGTATAATGGAAAATTCTATCAGTCTCAAATTGCAGCGCAGAAGGGTTAACTACTTCGATTCAGCATCATAGTCCGGTTTGTCGCTTCTCTTCAGGTTCATTTATCGCTGCGTCGGTTTTCCTCGAGTCATTTATCGCGTTATCCGAGTTTCTCTTCAAGTTCACGTTTACTATCATCTGCTCGCTGCGAGATTTTTCTTCGTCGCGTTCGTCTTCCTGCTCGACTTCCTCTTCTTCATTTACGGAAGACAGCGGCCTATCAATCGGAAATGTTATCGGGGGTCGCGCACGATAAACGCTTCGGCCCTGTGAATTTCGCGTCGATTACGTGAATCGCGGGAACCCGATAAAAATTCCTGTTGCACACAACGGATTACGAAAGCTTAAAATTACTCGTAATATACAACTTAGTATTTCTACAATCTTATATTTCTTAGTCCTCGTTATTGCAAACCGATTATAATACAAGACTTTCGAAGTGGGTTAAAGAATATTATACCGTGCATAAGAAAATAAGCAAAAGTAATTAAATTGTATCTGAAATCCAAGTTCTCCTTTTTCATCTTGAAACATTCAATTATCAATTATACTTGCTCGTCAGTTGTTTTTTATTAATTTATATGATATACATAATCTGTATAATCTAAATAAAATATTAACGGAATACAATCAGTAGGTACTGTATACTTGTAAAGTAACGAATACATCGTAGGATTAATATACAAAGTCCCGTGATGTTTCTGCTGCGTATGAAAACAACATTCTTAGTGATTTGCAGTAAATTTTCTCAACGGGAACGTTATTTCTCTTGCACCATGCAAAGATAATTCTAGGATCAATGTAGTATTTTATCGCGGTCTCTGGTGAAACTTCAAAATTGTCATGGACTTCAAGGTCTAAAAAATCATTCATTTCCTCTTCTTCATTGTCTGTAGATGTGTCCGTTTCGTCGTCTTCATTGTTTGTAGATTTGTTCGTCGACTTCTCTGGACGTTCAGTATTTCGTGCACGTTTATGATTCAAGTATTTTGCAACTTTTTTAAATTCGTTTTTAAGTACGTTTATTTTATAATTTTCATCTTGTTCAGCTAAATCAGTGTGTTTACTTAATAGATTCTGTAGCATCTCCGACGCATTATACGTTCTAAATACTTTCACAGAAAGACCCTCCATCTGTTCTCTCAAGTATTTATTTAGCATTGTTGGATTGATTTCATTGAATAATTTATCGTCATTATTTATCGATTTTTTAAATTCTAGTAAATTTTTGTACACATATTCTTCTACTTTCACATCCTCCTTGAATGGTATAAAACTTTTACCTACAAGTAATTACATTATTACAAAAACGTATGCGTATTAATCTAAGTAAATTAATAAAATTCCGTTTAATTTTATTGCAAAGAAAATTAATATACCTCTGAAATCAAATTTCACCCAATGTTCCTCTCCCTTTTTGTACGGTGTAACATGTTGCCCTTGCAAAGTACACAAACCTATCGTACCAGATGTGTTTTCAGAGCCAACTCTCAGAGCCAATTTATCCATAAAATACACAGCAGTACCTAGTTGCTTGGTTTTCTTGTCTTGATCGTTACAATCATTTTCGTACCGTTTACGAATATCATCTAAATGTTCTTTTAAATTCTGCGCAATTTCATACTTCCTTCGCGTCGTAGTGCTCCAGAATTTGCAGGACGGATGAAAACGAACGTACTTGTTTTTTCCATCAATGCTTCCTTTATAACAAGCAACCCATGCGTTGGTACGTTTCGTTACAACGTCTTTCCAACCTCTGTTCAATTGTTTTTCGCGGTCAGAACAATTGATAACAACATCTTTAGGCAGTATTCTTTTTTTCAATTTACCTCTGTTAGGACCCTTCCCTTTCAATAAATCAGGTTGTCCTATCTTAAAAGAGGCTAGTTTTTCTTTCTTTCCGTTTAAGGTACAGAAACCATGCTCTAAGGTAATCTTTTCTTCTTCCTCCTTTTCCCTCTCCTTCCTCGTTGTCTCCTCCCTCTTAAGATGTTCTTGTATTTTTGAAAAATCACACTTCTTCAACTTGAGAATTTGTTTCTTTTCGTCCTCATTCATTACCCCCCTCCACTCCAGGAAGAAATTATCGTCGAACGTACTATCTGTAGTGTATTTACTATTCAATACCTTTGCGTATAAAGTGGCAAGCTCCTCTGCCTCTTTATCCAAGTCCTGTTCCTCACCGTTGTAATACAACTTCACGTCAGAAGGAAGGGGATCGTATGGAGGTGCAATCCATGGTCCCTCATATTCCAAAGATTTCCATTCGTTGCACATCGCTGATAGAAAATAATGTCTATGTGGAGTTACAATCCGTGGTATATTGTCGCGTTTTATCGAGTAACTGCGCTAGTTTCCGCGAGTTGCAACGCCAAGTGTAGTATATATTTATCTACTACGATGATGTCAGCTAATCGTATGAGTCAATGCTAGAGCAGTCATCGGAAGATGTTTTCTAACGATTGTGATTCAAAGTTTCATATTGTGAATCGTGGTTCGCAACTGGGGACTTACGTCTAAATGTAAAATACCGGTAATGCCTATATCTCGGAAAATCAGACGAACAACCTACCAAGTTCAACGCTACGTTTACGGAACGCGTCAGTTTAACGCATATTGCATTTTATAAATATTATTCGACAAGTATTTGCGTCGATTTTGATTGACGCAATTACACGAATGTACATGGTAATTGTCCATTTATAAACGTATAATTTTCAAAATTTAATGCAACGAGCATCTATTTTTCTGAGAATAATAGAATTAACTGCACGATAAATGTCCGTAAACCTAACTTTGGAGGAACTTGAATGTTTCGAGTCGCTGAAGTTTTCTTACAAGGAAAAATGCATCGAAGATTATCGTCAGCGTTTATCAGAAGCTCATTGTACATGACAGGAGGGGATTGGTGTCGGTATAATCTTATAATCTTGTAATCTTTTATATCTTTCTTTCTTGCAGCACGCAAAGAGATCCTTCATGGCGTCAACGGAGAATTCAAGGCTGGCGAATTGGTCGCCATTATGGGTCCCTCGGGTGCCGGAAAGTCGACTTTGTTGAACGTTTTGGCTGGTTACACGTAAGTGTTCAACACTCGATATCAAGTTATGCTTTCACTGCCCGTAACGAACGGTTTGAACTGTGAAATAATCGTTGAATAACGATGAAAAAATTACATAATTTATAAATTATTATTATATCAACGAACTTGTGGGATACTAACATTGAGTAAGACATAACAATTACATCATTGATGACCTGATACTTACCCATTGCCCCGCATGAATCACTACGCTGTGATTTGAATTAATTTTTATCTGAATCTTATTTAGTTAACTGTGCCATACGATTATGATATTCTTGCATTTAATATTTAATTGGACCCTGGCGAATTAATCGAGTCTATATATTATAAAATCCTAATAGCTACTAAAATTCTTGCCGTAATACTGGTAATTGTGTTATTCGACTATATTCTCGCGTTTAGCCTTCAGCTCAATCCTAGTGATTTAGCTAAGATCATTATGATATTAAATAATTGTTTTCATTGTACTCAGTCCAATCAAATGTAAGTATTGTAAGATCATTCAGTCCCTTGGAGTTGTTAAATCTAAATATTTTATAAAAAATTCAAAATTCATATTCCATTGTTCTTCCTTCACATGATTCTGCGAGATCAATAATTTCTTCATCGATGAAACGCATAAAGAACTAAATTTAAAAATACAAATTTGTTCGTTAGGATGGATTATTTTTACTGAACCAGTCGAACTCCAGAAACATAAGTATACCGAGTTTTACCAAAATCATGACTTTAATCAATTAAAGAAAAGCGAGTTAATTATTATTACATATATTATCAATGTGTAAAATTGTGTCCCACGATTTATGCTTGCTTGTCGAGGATTGTCGAGCTATATCATTCCATTGCCGATCGATTTGTAGGAACGCTTATTATTAAAACCTTGACACGATCTTCATTATTCATACGCGTACACGTGGTAGATCAATAGCATGTTAGACGGATGCACGACGCGTTTAAACGCACTGTAATCATTCCTTCATTGTACTCACGAGGGAATCGTCGACCTTTCAAACTCCTGAAAGTGGGTCGATGCCTTTAGTTATCGTAAAGCCATCGTTCTCCGGTTTTCCTACCTCCGCCAGGTGTCATAGTTTTACGTTTAGAGAATCCTCTCCTTCGATTTCGAAAATTCTTCGTTTCCACATTGAAACCTTTTCTCCTAGTTCGAAATTTCTCATTTCCCGTATCAAAATTCTGTATTTTGAAAAACCTTCTTTCTCATTTGGAAAAATTTATTTGTTTAACCATTTACGCAGAACACCGACTAAACTCAATCATTTTTATATTTCCTTCTGTATAATTTCTGTTCTCATGACAACTTGATGGAGTTGCACCACACGTCCATTTCTCCAATCATTAAATAACATTTCTTAAACAAACTGATTCAAAACTATTATACCAACACAGAATGTGATATATTAACCGCCCCGTCGTTATCGAATTTAAACAGTAACATTTTATAATTTATCTAATACAAAAACGTGTGTACACACTTCTTTAATAGGTTGCATTGAAGCATCTCACATAAGAACAAAGTTTCCTCTTACACACGTTACAAAAAGTTACAAACTTCTTGGTTAAATCTTCAGCTTTTTGCTTTTGAAATATTTGTTTGATTAAAGTCAAGCTAAATATGACAAGGCGAATGGAATTCGACGGTGCTCTGTGAACCGCAAATCCATCCTTCCACAATTCAGCGTTTTTTTATTTGTTCACTCTTGAGCTCGATTCGATTGTAATATAGGTCATAAACGAATGCTCCGATAATATTTATATGTACCGCGGAATAAAGTTCATGAGGATGATTTTTATTCGGTTCTTTTTACTCCGGTTTCGTAAGCGGTTTCGTTATCGAATCGAAGAGTCAGAAGTGCAGTGTGCTCGCGCCGCTGCAACGGATCGAGCTCCGGTCCATTTAAAGTGCACTGAACATTTGATTAAATCATGAACCATAACTCGAGCTCGTAATTGAGCCACGAAGGAGCGAGGTGTCTCCATCGAACCTTTAATTTCTTTCTCGGCGCGATTCGCTTGGAAAAGTCAATGATCAGTAGAGAAATATTCGTGAATCAATAGAAAACAATAATATTCGTCGTTTCTAGTTACCTGTATTCATCTATGTATATACTTGCATTCATTTGTTCTGAACTAAGGCACCGATTTTTTTTTCTAATGACTTTTAACCTTTTTTTAATAGTCTTTTAAACAGTTACCTCTGCTCGACGAGTATATACGTCATCTGAAAATCAAAATGGTACTAATTCCTTCAATTATCAATTATTTATTTTTTCAGATATACATGTATTATATTCAGTTATATCATTTTATATTATATTCAGATATACATATTCTGAGTGCATTTGGCCTGCATTCGGCTTGCGTTTGACGAGTATACACATCATTTATACACATTATTAAATGATTTCACAAATTTGTTCATTAGCATGGATTATTTTCACTGAACCAGTCGGTTGATCGACGTTTCGTTACACGATCCAAATAGAATGAGTTTCTTCTATTTTCTTCCAAGAAGAAAGTGCTTATGAAAAGTCTTAATTTTCGCCGTTAGTCCATTGAGAAAAAGGAAACGGTTTAATTACACGCTGTTGTTGTTCGTTTAATATGTTAACTAAGTAATTGCAATTACTGTTATTCCCTTTTTATTCTCTCTTTGCCGAGGTTTTTGCCCCATGGGTACTTGTAATCAGAAATTAAACTAGTGCTGGTAATTACACGTCCAATGTTTCTTATTAAAATCACTACTCTATTCGGGACCGTGGAAACGCTAACGTTACTCTGTAAAATAAATATTTTTTGTGAATGAATGAAGTGTCGCTAATTGCTTCGCTTCGGTTTCCGTATGCGTGAAGGTGATGAAAGACATTTATCGTTTCAGAAATGGGAGTTTAATTATCGTAAAAATCTTATAAATATAAATATAAATATAAATATAAATATAAATATAAATATAAATATAAATATAAATATAAATATAAATATAAATATAAATATAAATATAAATATAAATATAAATATAAATATAAATATAAATATAAATATAAATATAAAGATAAATATAAAGATAAACATAAATATAAACATAAATATAAATATAAATATAAATATAAATATAATTTTTGCTAATGGTATATGCTCCTTGAACCATCTTCAATGGCAATCGGTTATTAGAAATTCTCAAACAAATTCTTCTTAGTTTCCTTTTTTCTTGAAATTGATTTCACGCTCTTGTATCTTTCTGTGACGCTGACCGACATAAGCACAGTGTGTTACTGACATGATCTCAGCCGGCCAATGGCTTAAAAGTGAAGAGTGGCAAGGGAAGACGTCCACTCGCGGCGCTCGTCCCGACAGTAATGGCGGAATTACTTTCGGCACGTCTGTGTTACTGGCCAAGCCGCGAGCTGAGGTGGAGTGTGTGAATCCCCTTACCCCTCTTCATTTTTGAGCCACAGTTCAGCTGAGATCATGTCATTAACGCACTGTATATATGTATGTACATACTACTTACCAGTGTGATTTTCATAACGAGCGAAAAAAAAACATGCAAAACATAAAGTGAACTTTCTAAGCAATACCTACTGTCCACAGACAACGTTTCTTCACGTCTCCTTCGAACTGAAGGGACAAGTGCGGCAAGAGGGCACGGATATTCACGATGAACGTTGACGCCTCGGTTTCGACCGCTTATAAATTCATAAACAAAACACTATCCCCCGTTAATTAAAATTTCTTATCGATATTTAAGCTGTAACAGTTCTCTAAGAAAAAAAGTATGCCATCTCTTCCCAAGTTACCTTATAAATCACCTACTAATAAAAAATCTACCCTTGTAAATAATGCTATATACCTAATGCGGTGACATTCAGCAAGATAAACGTGCAATAATGATAACGCGACTCAGTGAAATAATTCCATATTATATTTCTTTCATTTCTGTGTATTGTGCTACGCGAAATCGTGCAGCATTCAACGTTTTATTTAGAAATCCGATCACGTTGCAGAGTGAGGGGTGTGCGGGGGAAGATTCTGGTGAACGGAAAGGTTCGGGTTGCGTACAGCAACGGATGGAAGAGGACTTCATGCTACATACAGCAGGACGCTTTGATGAGAAACAGAATCACTGTTGGGGAAGCCATGACATTAGCCGCTCACTTGAAACTCGGCTATACGATCAGTTCGGCCTACAAGCACACTCAAGTTAGTCGAACGTTTCGCTTCACCTAGAATGTACATTTTCCCAAGTGAGATAGATAGTTCAATTAAATTATAAAAATCCATAGTATAATCTAGAATCTATATAATCTAGAAGAATCGAGACAATAACTTCTAATTTTGTTGCAACTAGATTTTAGATTATGCTATGGCTCATAATTTTGTTATATACTACATTTCACTTGGAAAATTCCAAATATATAGTAGCTCGTCTTCTCCTCCCATTTTCATTCGAGACAACAGAACTTTTTTGTTCAAGAAAAAAAAAAGAAATTTGGCTTTACCCGTGCTCTACTTCGTTTCGACTAGAGACATAATTCTTAACTCCGTTGCATGTCGTTAGAAAAATTTCAAAATAGACCCAAATATCTATATATATAGCTCCTGTTCGTTGCCCTTTTCATTATAGAGTATATAACAATTCTGCTCGTCAAGTGAATGAAAAAAAAGGTGCTGGGGAAATTCAAATGAAACAACGATGGTCGTGGTTAACGCGCAGGATACCACGTAATTAGTCTCTCTTCTACTTTCACTTATACAGGGTGTTGACTAAAATTGGGATCTAACTTCACATTTAATTCGATACAGAAGGATTACAAAATTGGGTATTCAATATGAAATATCGTATAACAAAGCACATGAAACGTTGATATGGAATAATTCTGTTCTTTAATTTATGCGTGATTTTTCTTTATTTATGTTCGCTCCGAAATACATCAGTGATGTTCCATTAGAAAGTGATGCATATTTATAGCGAGCGCATTTGCAGGGTGCAAGGGGTGAAGCCAAACAGAAAATATAAACGCGTTCTGGCGAATTGTAAAAGTTAACTGGTTTCTAAACAAAAGTGTGCGTGCGTGTGTGTCTGTCTAGTTTTGAATATTTCATTTTTTATTAACATGTTAATCGTGTCTCTAGGTTTTAGAGCTGCTCGAGTTGTTGGGATTGAACCACTGCTATGACACTCTCTGCGGAAAACTGTCCGGCGGTCAGAAGAAGCGGCTGGACGTCGCCCTGGAACTTTTGAGCAATCCGTCAGTATTATTCCTCGACGAACCGACAACAGGTAATTACGAAACCACGCAAAATGCTCGATAACTCGCAACGAATCTGATCATGTTATGCAACCACCCGCAGAACGAGCAAAATCGTTCGGGGAACGTAGTAGAGCAGTCCGGGGTCAAAAGTAACAGTCTGATTTTGGATTATGATTGCACAGAAACTATCATGTTTACAACAAACACTTTTATGCCGAAATCTTACATAGCTGCCTGACAATATTCAGTTACAGCAGTTCCATTTTGTGATAAGTGATAGCCGAGAATCGATAGCAATATTTTTTGATATCATAATTTTCGGGTATGAAAAAAAAAGTAATTATGTTCATTACATATGTGTATATTGATATTTTTATAATATTAATATTAAATAATATAATTGTTATACTATTATAGTATAAAATTATATAATATTATACTGTATTTTATTAATATTAATGAATATTATTTGCGTATTTACATAGTCAGAGCTTGAATATACTTTAATTGTATTTCAATTGTACTTTAATTGTACATCAAAACTTTGAATACAATAGACTTCGAATTATTCGCAGTGTCACTTTTGCCTGTAACGTACTACTGACATTTCGCGATCGAACGTAATCAATTTCTGCAACAGTGTATTCTTATTGTACAGGTGTTTATGTACGATTATTATCTTCGTATTTCAATGTTCTGCTTTGCAAATTGATTGAAATGTTTGCGAAGGTCGGTGAATGTAAATGAAGCACGTGCTTCTGAGTAATTTTTAGCCGCGAGCATTTCATTTTTTTCTCGATATGCTGCACATCACATCAGCTTCAATTTTAACGTCCTAATCGTATATTAAATAACTAAAATCGAATTACTTTATAAATATTCTCAAAGAAATTAAGTAAGTTAACGAGTTAACGAAAGATAATGAATTAAAAATTAAATGTAAAATTTCAATTAAAAAGAAAGGAATTCGTACAAAAGTGGCAAAGACAGAAAAATACGTGGTTAAATATGTAAATATGTTAGTAAATATGTGTTGACTGTTAGGACAAACGAACATGAGTGAAGTATCCAATTAGTAGCATCTTCTGAATTATTTTTCAACCTTTTAACTACTATACCCCACTATAATGGCTTTCGTGTATATCATCTTTTTGAACGGTACACCACTATAGCGGCACAATTCTTTCTTTATCATCGATAGCTGTGCATATTGTAATCTAGTCTATCGTAATTACGCAGTGGAAAATCCTATCAATCTCAGATCATAGTGCTACATTTATGATACGCAGACCACGTCAAACCTTGCCGTACAAAGGTGCAATAGCTTGGCGACTAGTCCCGCCGTAGCTAAAATGTTAAAGCATGAATTAACGTAGGTATTCGAGATGAACAAATCGTACGGCATTTTCCAGGCAACCCAAATTTGTTAAGAGAAAAGACGATTACGAGGAAAATTCTGTGAAATAGGTATCGCAAATAGCAACTTCGGAAAGAGTGATTTACGTTGTCATAGAGATAATTACTGTAAGTTGAATTATGCACGTTGAAGACGTCATATTATTGAAAAAGTAGCGTGGAGTACAGCTTGTACTCATTGTACCACTGATCCTTAAGGTTGAATATCACTTCGATGACACCAAATATTCATATCTGACATATATGAATATATAAATAAATACATAAATATATAAATATTTTAAATACAAAGTTGCAAACAAATAATTTAATTATCCAAGTAAAAATTGTTTATATAAAAGTGATGTGACTGGGAGTTTCAGTGCCTGGTAATATTACAGTAAATGACTGATGGAGGCTCGTCCTGAATAATAGGTAATCACGAGTATCACTATTTATCGACACGCGCCTGCAAAGGGTTAATTGTGTCATTTTGAATAACGGAAGCTTAAATATCTCCCAAACCCAATGAGTTCTTCAATATTAACAGGTTAATATATTTTTTCTATAGAAAATTACAATTTTTCAGTTACAGTTCCATTAAAAAGAAAATCTTGATTTTCACGCTCCTATTGAAAGTATTCGAAACCTTTAGCAAGGGAAGCTAAATTATATATATTGAACTCTGAAATATTAGAGGAAAGGAGAGCCATGTATTATGCATGATCGGGAATGGTAATTAGAAATAATCGCCTGTAAATCACCGGTAATTAATGTATAACCCCCGATTTATCATATTGTGCGTAACATATACATGTATTTTAACCCTAGGTAAGTAAACATTCGTTTAAATAGTCTACCACCCTCCGCCGCTTTTACGAATTCAAACGCAGCAGCATATTTTTAACATCTACCAAGATTATAATCGTTAATTTTGTACGCTTTTCTATTTTCTAATTATAATCTAATAATATATCTCTTAAGCTGTGCTACCGTGTTTGAAATAAATGGACGAAATATAAAAAATATGCATGTCCTTAATTCGTAGTCTACGAGTTGAACGTTTAGTTACATGGTAACACTAATTTAACACTAGATCTACCGTGCATTTAATACGATTAACATGTAATCCTTATAAAAATTGTAACAATAGATTCTTTCCAGTTTCTTTAAACACGCATTATAAATTGCGATATAAAAAAAAAGCGAAACTGTTTATGGTAGTTCCAGTGTTGAGTTTTGTTATCTACGGTTAAACAAATATAATGTACAAACATTATTCGATGAGGCCGAAAAATCTGTGCGAAAAAAGTTGTTTTGTCCAACTAGCACCTCAATTAGCGATAGTGTGCGCGTTTGGGAGGCAAAATGCCCCATAGTACGCCGGACGGATACACGCGTAGCGAATGGGATGAACGCAGAACATCTGCGAGCGATTAGGAGACTGGTAAAAGAGTACCTTCGAAGTTTTGCTTCACGTGAGAACGTACAAGGTCTCCGATGAAACGGACACACGGGTTTCGTAACTTTTCTACTCGTAGGTACACGTGATTGCACACCGGACGCGTTTATCATTCAGTTGCACGCGTAGAAACCAGTCGATTTATCTCATTCGTCATTTACTTGTTCAAGTGATGCACTATGCATCGTTTCGATTTGATTTTGCAATTTTATAGACTTGAAAGAACAATGTATTTCTTGATGAAACCTTTTTCCCCGATCTCTTACCGTTCTCAAGATAATCCATGGGAAAGAAAAATTTGCATTTCTTCCAAGGGGTACTTTCATCCCTTCAAAGTGAAATTCGACGTGAAAGGGCAATGTATTAGACTCGACTTGACTTAGGCTTTAATTTAGGCTTAACGAAAAGCTAAAGCGAAATGAAAAACAATGTGTATTTGAAAAAATACGTAATTGATCATTAAAAAGATTGATACCATTTTGCGTTTTAAGATGATGTGTACACTCGTTGAACGCAGTTAACCGATTAAGTCGACTGAGTCAAGCCTGCTTAGCTTGATCAACTTAATCGAATTCAAACGAAATGTTTCTGAGGTACCACCCAATTAAAACTCTTTGCACTCGGAACCATCCCGGACGTTACCTATCAGCAACTCGGCGCCACTTTGTCGCGAAAACATGCACCTACGAACCGTCATATTGTACAATATAGCTTTGAAACCAAGTAATGTATTACAATGATATTTGATTTAAATGAATTTGTAGATATCGATGAACATATATTTTCAAAAACATCAAAATTTTATTTCTTATAATTTTCTGTAGCGTGATCAATTTTGTGAGCTCACTTCTCACGTTCTCTTCCGACGTAAAACCGGCTGATACTTTTTTTATATGTATCTTAGTAATTGTACCATATCTTGATTTGATTTCTTGTGCCATTTCAACAGAAAGCTTTAGGGAAACATGCAGTTCTCAAAAAGTTGCGCTGGAATAAGTTGATTCCCCGTAACTACTAATAAACTTTGATGTCCCATGAAAGAGACCAGCCGAGCGCAAAGGGTTAAATGGTAACCGTAGCAACTGAAAATAATAAACAGACTAATAATCGAAGTTCAAACCTAGATACTAGTAAATTCAACAACAAAGAGGACACGCAACAAATATTTATAACCGACAAAAGCACGATTCTCGTTTCAGGCTTGGACTCAGCGTCTTGCAGCCAGTGTATAGCTCTACTGAAGCGTCTCGCTAAAATGGAAAGGCGTACAGTGATATGCACAATACACCAGCCGAGTGCGTTGCTCCTGGAGATGTTCGACGTTATTTACTGTGTCGCGAGCGGCTACTGCATTTATGCGGGTCCAGTTAAGTCGTTACTGCCGCACATGTCCTCAGTCGGCGCAGATTGCCCAGCTTATCACAATCCGGCCGACTTTCGTAAGTGGCGCAACGTTTACCTTGGTACCTATCGGAATGCACTGAAACGCGATAATAATCATTCACGGCGGTAATGATATGTTGCAGTGTTAGAAGTCGCGATCGGCGATTACGGTATCAGCGTCGAGAAATTGGCAGCCGCCGCCGAAACTATTTTCATAGACGACAAGTCGACTGTTACGTGCCCGTTGAAGACAAAGGAAGAAGGTATGCTGTTCCCTTTCCCGTAACTATCCTCCTACGTTAACACTTCGACTGCCACGAATTCGAGGGACACCATCTTTTATATAAACTTTATTTTTAATATCGTTGGATGTATGATAGAAGAAAGATACTAGAGCAATCGTTATTTAAGAATCTCGACTGCTTCATTCCTGCTTCATTAAGAAAACTGTTTCGACTGCACAGAAGTTTTGATGTGTGTTTACTTGGCAGTGAAAGTGTTAATACACCCTTCCTGTTAACTAATAAAATCTATCATGTTACGTTTATAACCGTTAGGAAGCTTTGCATTTCGATTCTGCTTTTATTTTTCATTTTTATTTTCGATCCTGAGGATAACAAAATTTCAATGTCACATTAGTATTCACTAGAAAGCAAATGATCTGTTATTGCGAATCTCGCGATCTGGTTCGCAGTGAAAACGAGAAGTCTAAGTTGACAACCGACGTACGCGAGGAGAAAATCCGAATGTAAAATTGGTCGAGTTAGCTATGTAATTTAGATTGTTCTCCGTAAAGCTGTATTATCCTTAATAATTAACTAGCAAAACGGCATTCTATGTTTATAAGTTTGCGTTCAAAGTTAAATATTATTTATCGTAAATCCCACTGGATATTATCAGCCAAGGGAATAATAAAATCACTTATTTCCAACTTCAAATTTCTTAATTTAGAGAACACTCAGGAACCACCACCACCAGCAGGATTCCTCGCGCAGTGTTACCTACTTTATAAGAGACAGCTGCTCTGCCTGAAGAGGGACTACACATTACTGGTAGTGCGTCTTCTCTGTCATCTGCTAATCGGAGTGATCTTCGGCTACCTGTACATGGGAAGCGGTTACAGAGCCAACGGTGTCCTGGCTAATTACGTCTACCTGTATGGATCGCTGTTGTTGATCGTGTACACGGGAAAAATGGCTGTCACACTTGCCTGTAGGTACTTAATCGATAGCCCGACGTTAGGGTAGCTGATGAGCTGCACAACGGATTCGCTATAAATCCTAGATGGATTAAAGATATCTTCCCGAAGCGTTGAGTTAACTCCTTGCACTCTATAGGCTCCACTACAGTTATAAAAAATCGCTGGTCCTCTAAAAATTAAAAACGTTGTTTCGAAACGAACTATCAGAAATTATCACGTCTACAGATGATTTCGCTTAGTCTTGCGACAGCTAATTTAAGTCCCTCGAGTGTGAATAACCAGAGGTCACTCTCCATGGAGCAATGTCCGAAATCCTTCCCGTTGTAAATAATCCAGCGACCGAAATTCATAAATTACACTTTTGGTTTCGTCTTTTTACGGTTAGGTCGCCGTAAAACCGGCTCTCGGAGTTGCTCAATTTGTCTCACACTCGCGCACCCGGCTCCAGTGTGCATCAAGGAAAAACAATGCACAGTTAGATCACCGTTCAAGCGTGTAACACTGATTCACCATTTTTATAATGAGCGTGCGACCCCAATCAGTTTATTCGTAGGTCATAATATGAAAGGCGCCTGTCACGGTTCTGCCAGAATTCGACTTCCCCGAGTCGTTTCAACGGGAACAACGGTTCAAAATCTAGGTCAAGAAACACGGAACCTGCACAGTCCTATCTCCGGTCTATTCGCAATCCGCGGAATAGTTAACAGATTTTTTAGTATAGTCGGTTGCGTGAAAATTTGCGCCCCTAGATCTGTAAGAACGACGCGCGATTTAGTGAAATCAATTGAGTTGCTCGAGTCAAATTCATTGAGTCAGTTGAGTGATTAATGTTAAATCGTTTGAGTCAGCTATGCGATTTAAATTGTCCAGGTGTATTTGCGTCAGTTCAGTTAACTGAGTATATCTAACTAAATTTTAAATACTGAATTGCACGCTTGTGATCAACTGGGAACAGTGACAAATGGAAACGCCATGCGTGAATTTGAGAAATATGGCGTATACCAGTGCCTCTCAAACCTTTTGTGACCCAACGTATTTGTTTGTAACGGTGCCACGACCTAAATGTTTAAATCGTTTAACAAATGCCTCGCGTTGGTACAAAACAGTGGCTGTCATATCAAGATCCATTAAAGATTTAACGTGGCCGGAAAAGTTGAGAAACCCTGGTACATACAATCGCTGCATGTCTCTTTAAATTGCTGCCATAAACGGACAACGTTCGTTCCGTCCACTTTCTTTTCCTCTTATCCTTGTTAGTTTTTTTACGGAAAGTGTTTCAAGGTGAACTCAGCCTGAACTTCATGGTTCACATACTTTGAAGAAAGTGGAAACAGCTAAGTATCGATGTGTTGATGGTTTCCTTGTGAACAGCATAGTATACACGATCATCGGAACGGATCGTTTTAAACCGGTTCAGGCATTAACGCACATAATATTTGAGGAAAACATTTTAACTCTTAAAATTTGTTAAAAGTTTTTCAAGAAAATACGAATAAGAATATTGTTTAAAAAACTCATTTATTATTTCTCCTTTGTATTTTTCAGTTCCACAGGAAATGCGAATTCTCTCGAGAGAATACTTCAACCGATGGTACAGGTTAGCGCCATACTATATCAGCATGCTACTGGTTGAGATACCGTTCCAAGCGTCTTGTGCCGCGACCTATTTAGCCGTCAGCTACTGGCTAACAGGGCAGCCAGTGGAAACACCTCGGATCATCTCTTTCATGGTCGTCAGTATAGCAGCTAGCTTGACAGCTCAAGCTTGGGGCTTCTTCATTGGGGCGACTACGCCAGTGAAGGTACACGCTTTCTCGGCTACATGTCCCAAACCAGTGGTTTTCAAACATTTTCGAGTTGTGGCACGAATCTTAAAATTCCAACGAACGTTGGAATGCTAAACAATTCTTTTCCTGAAAAGGGGATGGTAGATCACTTAAGTTTGAGAACCCTTGAATCGAACAGTGTTATCATATTCACAGGACATTTACTACATTCAATGTTCGATTAGAAAAATTCAGAGCTTAACCAGAACCTTTGTTTATTTACAGATTGCCGTGTTCGCTGGCCCCATACTCGCCGTGTTATTCTCAATTTTCGGTTTCTGCATCCGTTACGTAGACACACCGTTAATGTTCCGATGGATGTTCCACATATCGTATTTCCGCGCCAGCTTCCACTGTCTTTTGCACACCATGTACGGCTTCGACCGAATGGACTTGAAGTGCGACGACTTCTATTGCCACTATAAGAAGCCCACCCAGTTTCTGAAAGAAATGGACATCGCCGACACGAGCGTGTTGGACAATCTCATTCTGATTCTCGGAATCGGTGTGCTGATGCATCTGCTCACTGCCAGCGCGCTGTGGTGCAAGCTGAACAGAAGATAAAAATAAAAATAAGGAAGATCAAGAAACTACCAGTAACCGATCCCGGTGTTCCAGTATTTCCGTTTACCCTTACAGGGCTGTATACCATGGGCAGATCTGTGATGTGACCTAGAACAATACCCCCGGGACTGTTGTGACAAACCAACAAAACGTTAATAACGTTATTACGGATATTAACTTAATATCCATACACGAGACAAAAGCGGCAACATTTTCTTCGTGAACGTTTCGTTATTTGTTTGAGCGGTCAAAAGAAAAAAGAGAAGAAGAGTACTTATAAATCGTGCGAAGACTCCCGGCGAAAATCGATACCACCGTGCAACGCGAAGTAAAAGTGGGACGGGAAGTACCGGTCGCATGTAGCAGCAGTGTGTTAACTTAATTTTACTATTGGCACGTAAAACACTTGGTCTTAGATTTATATTATACGCTGTTCCACAATTGTCGTGTTACGGGTCTCTGTTAACTTATTACAGGTTTTTCTATTAAACGTGAGCCTGTGTCCCGACATTGGAGACTTTCGTAAATAATAAGTCACGAAAGCTTTAAGCCATCCCGTGCGTGCTCTATGGTCCGAGGGACGTTACTGTTACACGGATGGTAATAAGCGTGTATAATAATTAAGGGAGAATCATATTTTTTTATTATTTTTCGCACCATGATATTCTTAACTGTGCAACGATAGTGATAACAATCACAATTAGAATCGCGTGTTTCGTGTTCGTTGTAATTATCTTGTTACGATGGTGATCGTTTGAGAAATATAAAGTACATAGAATCTGAGGGTCACACTTGTGCCTATGTGCCTAGAGTACAATCAGAACATGTGCGTAAATGATGCGTGATATTATACTGATTATAATATTAATATCGGGGCATTGTATATTATTTTTATAGTATGTTACTTTTTCTTACATAAAATACATGTTCAATTACTCGATACAAATGGTAGCCTGTCTAGTAAAATTGTTGGATGAGTGAATGAAAGATTTTTTAGAAGAAGGTTTAAAGAAACTTTTTATGTATTTGTAGCAAAACAGACCTAATAGTTGTATGTGATATGTTTATTACAGTTCTCAGACCACTAATCAAATAACAATATTTATAAAATATAGTTAAATAAGTTAGAATGAAATGATACTTAAAATTACTGTGCACAGCTGTAAATGTTGATAATCGTTTCTATAATAGTATAAAAGATGTCTAGACTCTGCAAGTCTAAAGTCAATATGCATAAATGTAATACTATTTTAGTAATATTTTACATTTTTTACTTATATTTCCAGCGAATAATCTCGAGAGTTACTATAATTTTGTAATCACCTTCCAACACAGACAAATTGTCCAAAAAACAATGTGTCAAACTTCTGTTTCTCATTTTTTACAAACTTTATAAACTTATTGTTTATTAGTTCAATAAAAAAATTCATATTTTTAATACCAAAAAAAGTTGGTACTACAATCAACACTAGAGAAGTGTTGCGTGTAAAGCTTTAAACAAACTATGATGTAAACAATTAAGTAATATATTGAACGTGCTTCAAGGGTCTACACTTTTCTATTATAAATGTTGTATTTAGTATTATAGAATCTATAGCGGATGATCAATTGCGCGAAAGCCTATTCAATAAATATACTTTTCTATTAAAAGTCAAGAGTTCCTTCACTAAACTGGAAACGGTCATGCCGACTCATATTTTTGTAATTATAAGAAACTGAATCAAAATTTGTTTCACCCATTAGAAATTTCTTCAGTTCAAAATGAGGAAAGAATCATCATAATCTCAGAGCTGCAACATTCTACAATAATTCAATTTGCCACAGATTGATTAAACGTTTGTTGTCTACTTCTTGTTAGAACCCAAATATATTTATAAAACGATACTTTCCTAATGATAGATAAAGTGAGAATTTATGCTATATAAGAAACAACTTTATAAAAAACAGGATGCATTGGTTCAGAAAAAAAGAAATAATCTTATATTTGTAGTTTTTATTGTACGCTGTATCCAATATGTTTCTACAATTCGGATACATTGTTAACTTTTCTTCTTTTACTTTTTAATTAATATCATATACAGATAGAACGCTAATACAACTTCCACGACCTAGTTCAATCAACAGGCATATAAAGTGGTCGGGGAAGTGATAATTTTTATTTGGATAAATTACACATCTTTTTTATAAGTCGAAACTATCGTTTCACATTATCTATTCATGATAAATAAAACATCTAGGAAATGAATTTTAAGAGATCATATGAACACTATTACTCGAGCAACGAATTTCTTCTACAAATGTACATACATGTTAGTGTATCATTAAACATTCGTTTATTGTGTACCTAGTTGATTGGGAGCATAGAAGAACAGAAGAGGAAATGATAGAAGAAACATTCAAACATGTATCGTATTATGGAAACCATTCAAACGGATGCAGAGAGTATTCATATGATTTCAAATGCGAATGAGTTACGAACTTATAGCGTCCATAATAGCGACACGCATCGTCACTTCGATTTTGTATTAAAAACTATTTTTTCCTGTCAGACTAATTAGTGATCAACACGTACGCAATTGAGTACTGCAGGTTATAAGTGGTGCTCTGTTTAAAAATGACTTAACCGATAAATTGCATTAAAAGAATTCAATAGTTCTGAGTGAATTATTAAATATTCAGTACTGTGTTGTATTATTTTATAGTTTTATATAATATATAAGACGAGGCAAGAATTATCACCACTGTTATTACTTCTGTTTTTCTAATTAAAACTATTTTCCAGTTTTCAATGATCAACTTAAAAATAATTAACATTTACTTTCTACTTTGATCATTTATATGAAGGTAATAATTACTGCCTGAAGGTAATTATTGACAACTTCACTAACAACTATTGAACTCTTTTTGAATGTAACGTACCATAATGGGTAATTTCTAAAAAATAAACTGGTCTGAAGAAATGGTCCCCTTTCAAAGAAAACACAAAATTGTTTCAAAAATCTCCTAGCTTGATAGGATACCTTTTACTCCATTTTGTTCTATTGTATTTCCTTTAAGAGAGATATCTCATTCAAAGACACCCTGTCTAATTCTACCAATGCCTTGAGTAGCATATTACAAGTGATTCTTAATTGCACATACGCAACACAAACATCTAGGGATTTCAAATTTTAAATTCTTATCAGTAAAACAAAGTAAAAAATGCTTTTTAAACTACGTACATGGGCTGTTTGCTTAAAAACACATATCTTATATGGTATGTGGATTATAATATATGTACAGAAATGTTTTGAGGGCTGTAACGTTTTTTTAATCCATATCACCCGGTGAATAGTATCTCGAGGCAGCCCGTTACAAACTTACTACGTAGATAGCTGCATGTAAATTACAAGGGGTAAGAAAAATCCTACGTGTTGTTTTACGCTGTAAAGAAGATCTCTGCATTATCTCCTAGTTACGTGATAAACAGTTAAAAACTCGAAGTGCTTATTTATAGCCACAAGAGGGACGCTTATTACATCGACGCGTGATCCATATCGCGGTTCCTTTAATACTTTTTTCTTTAATATCAATAAGATGTTATAATGTCTATTATTCAATCAGATAAAAGATGTATTTAATAGAAATAATGTCGCTTCACCATCCTTTTTTACTCACATGTGTATCACTGAAAAGTATATCTAAGCATAAATTATTTTTCACACTTTTCACCGTGTTTGTTCTTTAGAAAATTGATCATGAATCAAACACAATACAAAACTCTTACCTCTACTATGTTCAAGTTATTACGTTCTGATAAAATTACGACCACCTTTAATCTGAATGAATAATATTTTGAATTTGTAATCGAATAAGAACGTACTTTTTAATAACCATTTTAACGGGTACAAGCAACCAAAGGTGTACTTGAAAATATGAAAATGTGACGCCAACAAAAATATTGGTGTTGCAATGATTAAAAAATAAAAGAGAAAGAAAGAAAGAAAGAAAGAAAGAAAGAAAGAAAGAAAGAAAGAAAGAAAGAAAGAATAGAAAGAAAGAAAAATAGATTTGTCCGCTTGGTCTATTCCAAAGAACGTTTTGGAAAGACCAAATTAGTAGGTACATTATCCGTATGTAATATTTACAGCGATTGAATATTAATTACTTGTTTCTATTAATTATTTACATCGAACCATATAGAATTTTGCATTTAATCACAATATTTCGACTGTTTCACCTTTCTTTGCGCCTCGGATTCATCCTCTGTGCCATATAGATGATGCCGGTGCTTCATTTCGGTCGCAACAGACTTTAAATGAAATCAATTGAAACAGAAAAATCAAACGTAAACTCTCGAGTGTTCGTGAGCAACGATAAATAAATAAACAAATTAGAAGATACGATAAAAAGTAAAAAAGAAGCAAGGTAAACCGATTTCTAGGGAAACATTCAAATATTTCTCGTAGCACAATAATTAGTTTAACACTAAACTCACCAAACGTGAACGCACTCTTTTTGGCATGTCTTCCTGTAAACTGTAAATCTCATTTCGCTTCAGCACGAGCTGAGAACCATCTTCGAATATTACCTAGAATGTAATTACAAATTAAAGGTATTTTCAATAACTAAGAGCACTCTTTCGGACAATACTGCTCGTGGAGAAAAATAAAACGAATATTAGTCAATTACTCACGGTGTACATAATTCTATGATTTGTACCCTCGAAGATACCGTCGTACAATTTTCCGTTTGTCCATTTTACAACAACTGCAGCACCCAGTTGCGGTTGGTTTCCAGGTTCATAATTCTATGAATGATAACAGTACAATTTTATATATACTTGAAACACAAAATAATTCAATAAACTAATTTATAAATAACGTCCATTACTGAGGATGAAAATTGAAATTCATTTTAAGAAATGAAGAATAGAAGTTATTCGCGATTTAATTTTATTTTACTTATATATAAAATGTGTATATTTACCGTTACATCTGATGGATATAAGTCTTCACTGAAACTATTATCTTCACTAAATGTAACCATATAAAACAAAGTATCGTGTATGGAATCCACTTTCGCCTTGTAATACCGAGAGTTTCGATGCTTGGCCCAGACGATCTCACCTAGTCGAATATTTGGAATTTTTTCTTTTCCATCATCGTGCCCATCACAAGTTACCTAGACATAAATTTCATTATCATTTCATGATTTTAAAAGCTACCTCTAGTTCATATATTTATCATTAATATGAGAGCTGAAGGAATAGGACTCAAAGGTTTCTATAAAGTAAGAATTGTTCAGACAAGACTTCAATTAATACTCTTCCTTGTCGACGCCTGTTGCACATTAAATTAAATCAATGAAATATCACTTGTTATGATAAGTTAGTTCTTTGTATATTCATTATAAAGTGGTAACCAGTATAACAAATTTTCAACTCTCATTAATAGATACGCTTCGTTCTTGCAAGTACCTGAAGCTCCAGCGAATTGTACACTGGTATTGAGAACATTGCACCGGAAATTAGACCACACGACGGATGGAAACGATTACTGCATTGTCTACAGTTCAGACACGCTCCATCTTTTTGACCACAATAACAACATTGTTGCTCGACAATGTCAGGTTTGATAGTTAAAACGTTAATTGGATCCTTATTGATAGCATCCTTAAATGTAACTCCTGGTAATAGGAGGGCGCACAATATGTGTGCCCAATTACTATCACTGGTACGTTTAACAGCACCACCGCGCATAGGGCATAGACAACACATCTACAAAATAATATATCCATGACAAAAAAATATATTATAGAATGGTCAATAGAATTGTGATCTCTTTGTTGGATATTATCAAAGTTACTTACCACTTGTGTTTTACCAGCTTTACATTTATCACATGCCCAATTTCGTATATCTGTGGGCAGTACGGTAATACCATAACACGATGCATGCACAGTTACGTGACATTCTCTGCAACGTAGTAATTTATCATTGTCCGGTTCGACCATTTGTTCCTTCGAATTCGCAACAAATATATTTGCAGACACCTAGATAACAAAAATCTACTTAGTTAACCATCTTAAGGTATAGAACACAAAGTGAACCACGAAAATCTTTACAAACATGTATTTCTTATTATTCTTCAGAAGATAATTTGCCAATATTTTATTTTACTTAATCCATTACATACACATTACTTTCTTCTTGTATAATTCATTATGCAAATCACTATTTAATTTCCAGATGCGCTTACGAATATTAAAAATATTGAATAATGTAAAAAAATTGTCTTCGCCTGTCGATGTTGGGCATCAGGCTTAAGAGTAATAAAATATTAAACTAAACGTATTGTTAACATACCAAATTTGTAAAAAAAATGTATATAATTCCTTTTTCTATGAAGTAACATTATAGTTGAGATATTATAATAGACCTACCCATATCGGTGAACTCTCTGGTAAAACCGTGGGTTTGCAATATTTCCAATCTGGAGGCATCAGCCTACCATGTCCATTACAACTTGAGGTAAATGGTGCACAAATCGCGCAATGCGAAATTTGGGCGCTCCAGTAATCATTGAATGCTTTCAGTAAGTCGTTAGATGGGACACTGGGGTACAGCATGTCAGATATGTGTCCCGGTATCATCGATACACGATGAGAAACGCAAGGTGGTTTATCCAAGGAACTGGATATTATAACAGAATCATCTGCATCTGTCACTGGTGAAGCCTTTTGTACCTCTAACGCATCCTTTTTCCTAGTAGTCGCCTTTTTCAGTTTCTCTTTCGACTTTCGTCTTGATGTTGACCACTTTATGGGTCTTAATAATGGCATGTGCGCATATATATTGTCTGAAAATGTCTGTGTTCTTTGAGATTCCTGCGTATCTCCAATCTCAGTTTGAGATTGGTCTCGTTCAATAGGTGGAACCGTAACAACACTTTGTGAAACTTGCACTTCTGGAACCGACTGGTTTACACTGAACTGTGTACTGTTATTGAAACTTGCAATGTTCGGACTTTTGCTTGTTTGACTAATCTCTAACGGATTATCTACTTGTGTAGATACTGTCTTCACATTGCTGACAATTGTGCTTGTACTCTTACTGAACGCCCTTCTATTACAGGGTTCATTCTTCCGACATAATGCTCTCTTCAATAGCAACGACTCCTTCGGTTTCTGTACAATCTTTAAAAACGAAGATCCCGTTGACAATGTGGTTGGAGTTGACTTCTGCAAACATTTCTTACCGAAGTCATACATCATTGAAGACTGAGGATTTATCGACACACTTGTACACTTAGAGGCTGAAGGCAAGAAGAATGTGCTGTTTTTCGTGAGGCTAAATGAAGAGGAGGTAGACATGTGAGAGGAATCTAAGTTTGTAACAGAAGATTGATTATCGTCAGCGTTGACATCCTTTGAATAAAATAAACTATTATTGCTGCTTGGAAGTTGCCAGAATTTTGTTGCCATCATTTTCGATGTGTCGGTCGTTGATCTTTTTCCAAGGGTCTTGACATCTGTACTTGTTCCGCTAATACTGTGGCAAGTAATTGGTTGCGCAAGTGATTGACTTAATACTGTGCTCTTTGTGAAAAATCCTTCCAGCCGTGGTATCTGAATACCGCCAGAAGTAATAGGTTGTGACAGTTCTAAACTCTTTGAATCATTCCCTGATTCTTGTACAGATATTTCTTTTTGCAAAATTGGTGGATTGGAAAAACTTCTATTCAAGTACATAATACTTGTATTTGGAAGTTTAGGCTCCTGAGGTTTGACGATAGGCCAAGGCTTTGGTAAAACTACTATGTTATTGGATGCTGCATGGGGGTTTTTTTCCTCTCCTGTTTGTTTATCAGTGTCAACTTTGGAAGAGACTTCAGTAGCAGGTATATTGTAAGCTGCATTTAATACATTCAACCTCGGAGCTTTTATAATGTCTTTCTTTGAATAATTGGGTATAGATCTTTCAGTTAACATTGTACCTACACTTTTGAAACTGGTTTGAGATAACGGTTTCACGTCTTGTACAGTTATTTTAGTATCATTGCCAATATATTCTGATTCTACAGCTTTGTCAATTTTAACTGGTTTTACTTGATTTGAAGCATATATATTTTTTACTATAGGTGGTTTGGATAATGTTGATTTCATGATAGTTACATTGAGTTTCTTAGGACTCTTTGCGTATAACATTATTCGTTCATCCGAAACGGTATCTAGCATTTTGTCACTTCCCTTTGAATCATCATACACAGTGTTCACAAGATTATTTGTAACATTTATAATAGGCTCGTTTCCAGAGAAAATTATGTTTCCCGTTACTTGACTTCCTTTTCCTTGGTTATTGGAAACATCCTTTACTATCGAAGACTTCTGTTGATTTAAACTCGGCATAGCCATTAGTTGTCGCTGCACATTAGCATCAGATACATCCAAAGGTTCATTAGTATCAAAGATATTTATATTTAAGTGTTTATTCTTCTTTTTGCTAGAATTCTTCGACTTCACCTTTTTTGGTTCTCCAGATTTTGAATGTTTCTTTTTCTTTTTAACTGGTTTCTCTGTAATTTCAGAGAAGTCGGAACCGTCTTCCATTTTTATACTTTCTAGAATATTATCATGGGGTAACATAGCGTTAGAGCAGCCTTGCCCATCATTATCATTATCTAAATGACTATTCTGATCCGGAAACGATGGAGATAAATAGTTGAAACTATCGTCAGGTTCTTCTTTAATTTCAGTCTTCACGGTTACAGTCCCTGTAATACTCTTATTAGAATCTTTTTTCGACTTTTTTTCCTTATCTGTGCTCTTTTTCTTTCGTTTTCGGTTCTTCTTACGGTTGTAACCGTCATCGTATACGGTAGCCTCATTCACGTCTATAGTAAAAACAATTAATTATTAATTTATTCGGTGCTCGGTTATTTAAATTACACTAAACAACATAGACTTGGTAACAAAGTACACAGCAAACATGTTTACCCATTTCTCCAGCCTTCAGCCAAATATCTTCTAAAACTTCTAATTGCTGTTCATCTGGTTGATCATCAGCTTCTTCCAATTCAAGGTCTTGTAAAACTTTCTTCACATCAGGTGGAATATCCGGACGATTTACTAACTCCTCCATATCAACATCCGGATTTGTTGCCATAATATTTTTCTTTTTGTGTATTGTATGTCGCTTATTCTTAGGTGCTGCACTCAAGTAACTTTGAGGCAATTGACCGTTACTGCTACTACTGCATAGTAAATCCATTTGAGATGGCATAGGTGCAGCTGTTTGCCTAGGATCTTCTGGGTGCGGACCAATATCTTCCCCGCGTAACCACAATTCATATCTAGAATGAATTGTTCTTAATTAGCAATTGCCTTTGAAGAATGGCAAGCATAATTTCCAATCGATATGTTATCTTGTACAAATCGTATCACCTTTCTGGTTGGAAACGTTTTACAAAGGTGTCCATGGATATTTTAACCATATCCTTACTACAGGTACACTGTGTAGCCCTTTTACCATACTCCACCCATCGCGGTGTAGCAAAATTTGTAGATTCAGCACAATTGAATCCATGATTAAAACCAGCATGATAGCCATAAGGAAAAGTTATCATTATTTCTCCAGCCTCTTGTGTTATCTAGGAAAAATCAATATGTTTTGCGTAACACTACTTATATGCATATTTGTAGAAATACACAAAGAAATAAAAGCTTACTTTATTGCATGGGATAGAATACTGCCTTAATATTTGAGGAGAAATAAGAGACATCTTGTGTCGTAAAAATGCTTGACAGCTTTGATGGCTTGATGGGAAAAAACCACTAGCAAGTCTTTCCAGTCTTCGACCATGTTCCGGAGGTATTGCATACCATGTCTTTGGAGCTCCAAAATGTAAATAATTTATTGAATACAGATCCATGTCCTCTGTATGCCACGCAAATGTAGTTTTCCACATTCCAAAATACAGATACGCTGTGTTCACACCATCAATAGATATACCATAATCTTTGTTCACGTAATCAAGTATTGTTCCTAAATGATTAATGTTCCACTCTTTCACATCTGGGTCAGTCAAGGAACCAGAAACATCTGCCCCATATATAGGTGCGACATAAGTTATATTTTTCCAATATTTCCTTTCTAAATCTTCGTAATCGAAGTGACGTGGAGTATTATAACGTTCTGAATTAGCTAGCTTACTATATTCTTTAACAGTCATAGACTTCTTTTGTATATTAATTTGTTGGTAGAGACCCTGTTTGCCAGTGACCACCTGGCAAATAGGGGCAGGAATGGTTAAATCCAAATCATCCAAATTATAACCGCCTTTTCTTGGAATCCATTCAGGAGGCGGAATTACTTTTGCTAAACCAGCTTTATGTGCACCTTTACTTTCCATATATTCCACATACTTGGTAAAATCCTTAAATTCTTCATACGTAGGTCTAAAGACCTGAATACGGGGAGTACCCCGTGAAATGTTGCTAACCATTTTGCTTTAATTTATGTATCTGAAAATAAAATTTCCTAATTGTCAAAAAGTTTCAATTCTTGCTCAAGATATACATATGAGCATAAATAACATTCTTAATACAATTGTTAATCATGAATAAAGCATAATATACCGCTAAAAGACATTTTATCACACAAACCTATTAATGTTGTCACTGTTAATAACTAGGCATACAAACATTTCATAATGGTCATAAAATTGCAATCACGAGCCGTGACACATAGCGATAAACACGAAATCAAAACATCCTGTGCTTTCACGGCACACATGACGACTGATCTATTGAGAATAATTCTCGTAAACCACCAAAAAAGAAAAAAAGACAACCACCAACAGAATTGCAATTACGATTAACACAAGTTGGATTAATTACATATAAATTTTATGTTTTGACGAGTACATTAAAAAACATGAATGGATGTGTGTGAGGTGCAATGTTTTCGGAACGAAACGTGCCGGAGGTGCATAAACAAAATGGATGGTAGCTATTGTCAAGATTGCCCCTTAAAATAAACTGTTATGTCCGACATTTCGCCAGTTTCTCGGATGTGAACCGACACGTCACGAGGAAATAAGCAAATCGACGCTGTCAACAATATTCACTGCACATTTTGTTCGTTCCACTAAACATTTGGCTTCAGTTGAAATGGCTAGACACGAAATCTCGTGCTGGCAGTAATATTGACCGACAGAAAATTATCGCTACCGAAACAGCACGAAAAGCTTCACAGATCTCGTTAATGCCAGTTGCGGCGCGTTACTTACGTCGAGATTAAACACGAATTCAATCACCTTTCCTGTATAAACACCATGTTCGTCCAAATATCGTGGATTCTGCGATTTGACACATTCACCGCTGTACCCCGCGCGTCTCATGTAAGACCAATAAAGATGGCGTTCAACGCTCTATCAACCTCAGACGCCAAAGTAACCACGCATGTGTATGAAGCGGCTAATTCGAATTTTTGCATTTTGTCACGTACATGCTTCTTTTCGAACATTAACGCAAGAACCATCCATTAAGGGCATTTCCACAAAGCTGGTGGTAATTAAGATAGATGATTTCACTCACAGAAATTTACATGGATAATTATAACTGTATAATGTAAGAAATACATTGTATACAGCGTTATTTACGAGGAAAAATTCTTATTTAAGAAATTTATTGATGATATAATAATATTCATACCATGTTATATAGAAAAATAATTTACGTAAAAGCTGTATCGGATCATATATGCAACATTATAAGCGTTATACCCATACGAATTGTAATTTTGTAACACTGCCTGATATTTAAACTTATATCGAAATAGTAGTTTGGATATATATTTGCTATTTTAGTTTTTCTTCTTATTTTAAGTTTTATTCCGGTTCTAATTTTCGCGGAGAATGACGAAATCACCGACGAAATGAAAGAATAAATGGAAGACCTCATAGCTTCGTGACCCAAGTCAGACTGCCTTACCGATCTAGAAATTGACGACCGATTATAGCGTCCTCTTCTCATGGATAACGGTAAGTTAGTGAATTAACTTTCAAAATAGTGTGTTGGTAGGCTGAGGAGCTGGTAAGTAAGTATAAATACATTTAGTGTTTGTTCACTTCTTTTATTTACACAATTTTTTTAACAGTATTTTTAATTTTAATAATTAGATTATGATATGAAAATCTCAATAAGAAGTGTAATTTTTGTTGGAGTCATGTGGTTTCAGCACATATTAAAATCACTATTATCAATTCTAATTTGAATTAAATAATAATTTTATTTTACTTCAATTTCAATTTTATATCATGTTTATTTTTTAAGATTGCATATTTATAAATAGATATTTTTCCACGAATTTTCCACGATATCTTCATTTAATTATATAATTGTATTTTATAATTGTATTAGATAATTGTATAAGATAAGTTAGCTAGATAAAATAAAATAAACATTTGATAAGATTCTTTAGAAAAATACAAATAATACCTTAATACAAAAAAGTTAGTGATCGATAAATTCAATATATCAGCAATTCAGTTATCTATAAATTTATTATTTGTGGCTATTTCATAGATGTAATGTGTATTTTTATAAGAAATAGTAGTTAGACATTCTCAGATATTATTTCATTGAAATTAAATATTACCTATAATAATCGAAAAATAAAGTGATTTTTAAGGCATATATAGTTTGGATAATTTTAATACACTTCATTTTAGTATTAATCATAGTACAAACGTTAATATTTATAAATAATAAGAAGTGTTACTTAATTTTAAATATCTTAAAATAGCTTTTTTCATTCCAAATAGTAAAAAGAATTTACAAAAATTCTGTAATTGCTATTATGTACAATATATTATACACATTGACACGAGTTTTATCCCCTTTGCTTTTGCTTCAGTAATTAGTTCTTCTACTGATCATTGTCCATGAGAAGAGGCCGCTATAATCAGTCCTGGATGTCAGTCGGTAAAAAGAGTCTGAATTGTGAGCAGGAAAAGTCTACAGAATAATGGATGGGCGTATTCTTACACCTTGTCTATGGCGAAACCATTGTACTGTTTCAAAGTTTTAATATCGTGCATTTTATTGCATAAATAATGTCACGCAACGATACGAAGACGTACTATTTGTTAGATAACCCAATCTGAAAGATAGATTATGTAAATTCAAATGTTATAATGATGTAAGAAAAGGGGGATGCAAATGAAAAATATTTACGGGATAAGTTAAAATTTGTTAACTAAAACAATTAGAATATTTCATAGATGTCAAAAACATGAATAGTTTTATTCTACCAACTGTATTCTCTCCTTTTAACATGTTCGATGTTGTTGAATTAATGTTAAGTCAAAGGTTAAGGATATTAATATGTATGAAAGAGAAAAGCTTCCAAGTCATTAATTACGAAAGATTTGAGTGTAAAAAGTCACGTTTTGTTATCATTTCGATGTACATTATCAACTAGAATTAGAACAACTACGCTTATAATCTAATTAATTCTTAATTTTAATGTTTGCATTTACGATAAAAAGGTAGGTTTTAAATATTATTAAATTCGATGGTAAATAAGTGTATTTAATAATAAGTCAGATATAATTATAAAATTTTATTTAGAATCTAATAATATCTTTAATAGAATTTACAGATTTTTCCCCGATTCCAGTTTGTGCATGTTACCAAATAAAAATTTGTATTCGCTGAAACAAAAAAAATCTAGTATTATACATTATGCGAATAACATCACAAACATTTTCTGCGAGCAACAATGATCACGTTGGCGAGAATTACGTATTTTACAAGAATAAAATAATAAATTAATACAACGGTGTGCTGTATATTCAAGTATTAATAAAAAAGATTAATCTGCAACAACGATAGTATCCAAAGCGTGAAGTAACGATAAGAAGTAGAATTTTATAATTACGATGAAACATATGAGATTCAGGCCTCAGCAGCTGTATAACGAATTCAAACATTATAGATAAGGCCTACGATCCGACATCATAAAAATAATCAAGTCGCAGTCGACGTTTTTCGTGATTAATTATTTCGTAGCGATGGGTCTACGACGCGTCGAAGCCGTTCAAGTCGTTAATGAATAATGTAACGGCTGAACCAGTAGGAATAATGTTCTAACGCCGACAAACTTGCGCGCGCACGCGACACATTCAAATTTTGCAAGCATGAATTAATGACTAGTAAAACGTACAGGGTTCCTGTTAAATAATCCAACAAAATGAAACTTAAAATGAAAATTCTGAAAGAAAAACATGTTAAAAAGATATATTTTACAAAGTGTTACAGATCAAATATGAAATGACCCATAAAAACGAAGGGAAATTACCCAAGTTTAAAATCTGGGCTCGCAAAGTTCATTTTAAACGTCCTGGTATCATTTCATATAATATCTGTAATCCTCTGTAACACTTTGTGAAATATATCTTCTTTAAACCCGACGATTCTTTTCTCGAGAACTCAGAAACAGATTGGACCATTATTATTTTGAGCCGTTCATACATGGTAAATATAGCCGTATCATATATTATAACTATAAATGTACCGGTGAAGTCTAGCAAATTTTTCTATCAACTTGCCACCAATACAAGTTTCTTGAATGCGATTGATGAGTGGCTGGGAGGTGGCATGCGCGGTCGCGAGTTAACTTTCAACACGAGCGGAGACAAGGACGCACGGGTAGATAGGAGGCGCTAATGGTTCAGTCGTCGTTCAGTTCACGAGGGTGATGGTATTGTGTTGTCGCGACTGGACGCGTGTTTGAGGCCTTTCCTCACTGGAGAGCTTAATGTTGTTTGTTTAACGAAGTGCGTGCAGCTGCAGTCTTTTTCCCCGTGATCCAAGAAAGTCCGACATGACTTCACACCTGCGATGGATTACAATTTATAAAGATAAACGTATATGTAACATTAAAAAACAGCATACGTATACATAGATATACACAATAGATACAATGTATGTATAAATATATGTTACGATAAAGTAACAAGACGCGGATTGATTTCTTAAAATGATGGATGTCTTATAAGGCGATAGCATTTGATAAATATCGCTCGATTTAAGATATATAAATTCTATTGTATGGAATGCGTGCGAACTATGAATTCGCGCGCGCCAGTGGCTGAGTAAGAGTAGCGTATTGCAACAGGTTTTTGCAATAGTTATTTGCAATGGCTATTTCATTGGAAGGATTATTTTGGTTTACGTGTAAATAATAATGAAAATAGTCATTCTTAAATTAGAAATAAATTTATTTCGCCAAGGTGCATGGATTCTTGTGTTATAGCATCATTTTTGTCCTCAATTTATTATTGTTGCCAGAGAACATTTTAAGTAACTACATATTTACACAAGATTCGAATATTTCATTTTATACTTGTTAAAATGATAATAAGAATAATTTCGGTTTATAATTTGAAATATTTTCACCGTTA